CATACTGAGCAATGACTCCCTCTCTCTCGCTCCGACCTGATACCCACTGAACACCCAAAAAGTGTTTCTGTAGGACAGGAATATACATATAAACCTCTCGCATGCCAGTGCTTTCGTGCAACATCACTGCCAGTACGGTAATGGTGGTAATAAAAGATATTTTACAGATGCGCCCTTTCATAGGAACGGGTGAATTTAGGTGGAAAGCCAAAAACCTACGTTTATGTCGCGGACTTGCTGCAAGTTATTAAATAATTCTGAATGAAGTCTCGTGCAGGAAACAGTGGGATCTTATAAAGAGAAGCAGACAGCAGAACAATAAATGAAGCAATGGGAGAACGAGCAGACACATACCTGAGATATGATGCCAATTAGATCGGCAAAGACGAGCTTCTGTCCCTCGGGCCGATGCAGGAAGTCCGAGAGTGCTCCCTTCTGCATGTACTCGACAATTATGAACACTGGTTCCTCCGGCGGCTCCGTGCAGACACCCAGGAGAGTGACGATGCGAGGATGACGCAGTTTGTGCATCACTTTGGCCTCATCCAGGAACTTATTACGATCCATGGCGTTCTGGCTATTGACGTTGTTGAGGAGGACTTTGACGGCAACCTGGTAGTTTTTGTTTCGCACGGCCAAGTGAACTTCGCCAAAACTGCCATGGCCAAGTTTTTTCACGAGCTGTATACTCTTCCGATTGACCTCCAGATCGCGGAACTGCACGGGTGGGGTGTATGTGCGTGGGCAGGGCTGCGTCAGTCGACAACAGAGGCCGTCTACAGAGTCTGGGCGGGGGAATAGGGGAAGGAAACAATTAAGGAATGGAAATGAACAATCGAAAGAAGAAGTTGCGTCGACACTTAAGGGCAACATCTGCCAATGGTCGCTCTAACCCCACATAGGCAAACATAAAACCAAGCATATTTTACATCCATAGTGGTGTTGTAAGGATAGCTGCTGTGCATCGCCCAATAAGGCTTCATACGTAGTCGTCCCGTTCAAATATGCAGCCCCAAAGTAGTGTGACAGAGGCACGGACGGGCGGAGACGCTCGATTTTTCTGCCATGGTCTCTAATGATGGGTTAGAGTGAAGATCCGAAACGTCAAACCAAAAAGCCTCTTCTTCCAGTCCCGCGTGAAGAAGTACAATCCGTGACATCATCGAGGCCGGCCGTAAC